CGGGGGGACGAAGTGATCCCATGGTGGGATGGATGGATGATAAAAAATATTGAGGAAAAAAAAGCTTTAGAGATTCGACAGGAACTAAATGAGTGTTTTCTGCTTGCCCATGAGTAGCATTTTGTTTTCATATGAAATATATTCTTGTTTATTACATCATGATTTTGTAAAAAAATAAAAACGCTGCAATCTAATGACTTCCATTGGAACAAAAATCTGTGTGACTATTGCATTGTTTTTGGATCAATCCAACTAACCAAAGTACAGCGTCATTTAAAATGATTTAAACACATTCTCTCTTATCTGTGGTTTCACATACAGGCAAACATGCAAGTACAGAAGTTGATTAATTTGTCTTACTATCTTCTTGCTAAGCCTTTCCGTTCTTTGCATTGTCCTCCACTAAACAGAGGATACAAAAGGCTTGTTTTCTCAACTTCCACGCATCATTCTGAAACCATTTTAGTTGCCACCTATTGGCCATTACAGAGTATGCAGGTTGAAGGTAATTCTGCATTTTCTCGTCTTGAAACCAGGAAGCCAAGTCCACTTCAAATACCCAGACTATGAATGATATGCACAACAAACACACCCAGCTAAGCTACTCCACCCAAAGCTGGCAGGTTCAGTTCAGACCACAGAAATACCAAAGTGGCAGAAACGCCTCAAAACTTTTTATGTTACCTCCAACGACTGCCAGAGTAGCCTAGTTTTGAGTATGTCTCTTTTTTTGGAGAGTGTACCTGCCCCTTGGCACATTAACAGTAAAGTACATTTTGGCAGTGAATATTTAGTCTAGGTTTTGACATAAGATCCACTTCTTGGTTGTTCCTTTCGCACGACTTTTACACACACATTGGAACTCAGTACGTCACGGTGGATGAAGGGTCAGATCAACAAATGAGTGACAGGGAATATCCTCATATAATACAATGATTGAAAATTGGAGAGCTGTTAGGCTGTTTTTGTTTGAACTGCCTGCTGATGCATGAAGTAAAAACATGTCAGCTGCTATCACAATAGCATGTGACGCTAACACAACCTGCTTTTCTCTCCTGTTTGCTTTTCATACAGTGTTAAGATATAAAGTCTTGGCTGCTGGCCAAGTTTCTGAGTAAAAACTTGAATGCCTAACACTTTTATTTTTTTGCGTGGGAAATTCATGTGCTTTAGTCAGAAAAGTATTCAAACAACATTCAGGTTATCTTGAGTCAAAGGTCATCCTGGAAAATACAGGTCATGTCCTACTTTGCAGCCAAAGAGAAACCACAGGTGATGTTAATAGTGCAAGGGTGGATTAGGGTGGCTACTACAAGTACACCCACATTTTATCCTGACTTTAGGTTAACAGCATCAAAAAACGTACTGCTTGCAAAAGGCTCTTATTTTTGTATTAAGTGTGGTAAAAAAAAACATGGTTTGCCCGCTAATAGTCGTCAGTTTGCGTACTGTATTTAACTTCATTGATCGAGTAGATGTCGCTTTTGAGCACCAGCATGAAACCAAAACAAACACCTCCTCCATACTGAAGCCTTCGCTCTGCGCCAGCATCACACCTTCAACACCCCTCAATTCGCATTTGCAAAGGACAAAATTGTCCTTCGCTCGAGCTGCAATTGCTTGTGTTCTGCATTGTTGTGTTAGCAGGCTAATGTTAGCGCTCTTTAGTTAGCTTGTAGCTTCACATTGCACATAAATTGACGCAGCATGACCGTGATCTAAAAACGTTAACGTGACATTCAAATAATCAGTGAGTATGTTCTTCTTCTCTCTAGTCCTTGACTAAAACAGCTTTTATACACAAGGGGAGGAGCCGGCCGTCCCGTCCATGTAAACACAGCTCTGACAACAACACAGCCAGCGGGACTTATTATTATTAAGATTATATAACCCATTCTTTAAAAGGTTAAAAACTCAAACATTAATGAAGAGTAGCACGGCGTACATTGAATAATAATAAACATATTTTAAATGCCTTCATTCATAAAACAAGATAACTTGGAAGAGGACAAGGGTGCGAGCTCAAACAAACCTCTGCAAAGTTTCATTTCCATCTCCGTATCAAGGCGCAGGGAGGGGCTTTCTGGGAAATTCCAGTTTACCAAAGTGTGCAGAGAAGCCACCATGCACACCTCCTTTATCTCAACTTTCCATCATGCATCACTCCTGTGCACCAGAAAAAGAACCTGTTGATTGAGAAGAAAAGACACCAGATTTATAATGGTTACTTCATTTATTTATACTGTATTTGATGTTACAATGTGATGGGCTTTTTTTTAAGCCAGCTTTAGTGTCCTGGTGTCTACTTATATTTTACATTACCTTTACTAAGACACACCTTCTTCTCCCTTTTCAAGCCTCAACTAATCCTGTACAAAGAACTGATGAATTTGACTTTTATGGCACAATAAGAGAACACTTTGTGACGCACAACTCATGGGTTCTCAACCCAACTAAAGACCATCTTGAAACTGCATCCATTAGTCTATTAGTAACATTAATTATAAGTACTAGTTGTGACAATAAAATTAAATGTAAAGGGGTTGCAAGTACGAAAAAAAGAGGAATGTATGATTTCCTGGATCCTTGTGAGACTATTGCACAATACTGCCTCCTTGTGGGAAGGTCTTACTAGATGCTGGTTCAGGCTGCAACATGCTGAAATGCATGGATTTCAGTGCTCCACCCTCGATACTTTCCATTAATGGGGATTTTTTGTTATTGATGTCATCATAACATTAGAATAAAAAAATTGTAGACAGAGGGATACAGATGTAAGACTCTGGTACAAGAACTGTTGATAAGGATTTACGTTCTGAGGTTGCAGGGGGTTACCAAGGGGGAGCCTGTCTGCCTGATGTGAGCCAGTTTGCCATGTAGTCAAGAATACATTGGCCAGTACATGCATCAGAATGTGTTAAAGTCTGACAAAATGGCACAAAATATATGATTTGGATCTCTATAGTATCACTGATTTTAGGAATCTACAAACAAATTTCTATTAGCTGCAAAGTTAGTTTTCAAGTTGAATTGGCTGAATGCGTAACAGATGCAAAATACACAACAATGCATTGTAGGAGGATTCTCATGAAACATATTCACCATACCTTTACAATGACCCCTTTTCAGGATTACAGAAAGACACACACAATAATCTATATCTTCATGTCAAACAGGTCTGGCAACGCCTCCCTTCCCTGTGAGAAGGCCTGTCTAGATTTGCAGGGAAACCTGCAAAATTTAAGTGATGAGATACTGCCCCCTGGTGGGAAACTGCTGCAGTAGCAAAAAAGCTTTATTTTAACCCTCATCCTCCCACCAAATGTAATATGCAGACTACCTACAGGGGGCTCTGTCAGGCTGGAAGGACAAGCATGCAGGATTTCTCCCAGGAGTGTCAGAAACCTACCAACCAGTACCCATGTTTCCCCACACGTTTTATACCTCTTTGGGGCCAATCAGGGAAGAGCTCTGTAATTAGTGCCACCTTGCCTCAGCTGGAATCAACACTCCTCTCACCTGGTGTGAAACAGAAATCATAACCGTGTATGAACAAAAAAGTTACATTCTTAAAGGTCTTATCAAAGCATACTCTTAAAGAACATGAATTTAACATTCACTTTTATGTAAATTTAAAAAGGAGAAACATGTCATGAAGAAAGAATGAACTGAACAAACCTTCAGAGGGCAGATATATCAACATAAAATATCGTAACAAAACTTCTCTTTTCAGTATAAATGTCGACATTTACAGTTTGACACGAGAGACCGTAGGCTCTGTGGTAAGGTAACTGATTAATATCTGAGGAAAGTCACAGTATATTGTGTACAAAGATATTCTGTCAGAAGCAGCAGGCACAGACTGCCACGAGATGTGTGTGGGTCTCCTTCAAAATGAGTGACTGTGAATTAAGGCTTGATCTAACTTGAAATAATTCAACCAACCTAGACAAACCGTTTCAATCAATCATTATTTGTAAAGCGCCAATTCATAACAAGTGTTATCTCGAGAAGATTAACTAAAGAGCAGATGGGATAATATGCAGGAAGGATTTCTCCTTTGTATTCCTCACGTTCCTGTAGTCCACACTTCCTTGCAGCTGAGGTGGAGGTCGGAGCAGGCCGTGCATGAATGAGGACGGCGGTGGTTGTGGGGACGATACAGTCCGATGGTGGTGGCCAGGCGTCAGTCACCTCACTATGATTATATTTTCTCTTTTTTGCCGCTATGTCCACGTCCTTCATATTCGCCGGTTTGAATGGTGTCTTTTCTCTGAATTATATCCACTCCCAAACTCACCTGCTGCGCTGTCATTGGCTGGAGGAAACACATCCGATCCCCGTTCGGGATATCCAGAGTCAACCAAAACAACCCAGAACATGAAAATCCAGGGTCTCTGCAGACTCAGACACCACCACACATGTACAGAGACCCAGAAGGGATGATTGACAACGCTACTTTTGGATAAGACTATGTTGTATTCTGTATCTTTAAACTGGCAGGAAGCCCTAGCTGAGGTTAAACTTTCAATTTTGCATTTATGGAATACATTTTCCATTCCTCTTCCAGCCTTTTTCAGGGACTATTCACTATAGCAGAGTATCAGATCAAGTCATATTGCACTATAATTATGTAATGCAAGCTAGTGTTCGGTCTTTGTTAGGACATATATAGAGATAAGGAAGCTTATTCTTTTAAATTTACACAGGTGACAATATGCTTAGAAATGAGTGAATCAAGAGGAGGAAGTTTTTAATGTATAGTGTATTGAAATACACCAGCTAGAAGTCATTGGCAAGTTCTTCAGACAATATATAGGGCAACTTTTGTGATTGTTTTAGTGTCCAGAGCGTAGGATTGTCTCAATTTGTTTATTGATCATTTGAAATGGTATCAGATTTTGTTGCATTTATATCCATGGTTACCCTGAACCCACTGAGCCCCAAATTGTATCCCTGAACTGTCCCCGATGGATCAAAGAAATAAAAACAAACATTAATTACTTCAGTAAACACGTTTTTATTTCTTTTGGTAGCAAAAACAGCACCTCAGGACAACAGTGTGACGTGGGCAGCCTCCTAAGGGGTCCAACAGTTTCAGTTACAAGACACGCACAGGGAAGACATGCACTACCTACTGTAGCAGGCAAGTTAAGACATTAGTTGACCAACAACGCTGAAGCACTGTTTCAGTACATTCACAGTCCTCTGACGACACCACAGTCTATTTGATGCAACACAGTTTGTAATGAAATGGAATAGATGTTGCATAGATTTCAAGGGAGTGCTATATTTATAAAAATTGTCTTCTTATTTGCAATTTGCCCATTTTTGCTCTCACTTTCTGAAACAATACGACTTTTTTTTTTAGAACAGACAGTCAAACATCAGACATACAGAAAAACTCTTTGGTCCCTTTCAGATCTTTGGTAGTGTTCGTATCAATCATGTCTTCATGAAAAACATTTTTTACGCTCTACTAAAGAGTGGCCAGCAAGCATTTGACTTACAACTCGTTTTAGGACAATTTTTTTGAGGGGGTGAACTGTAAGTATAAAACAGGAAAACTAGCAGACAGGTAGCTACACCTCTAAACTAGACAGCTCAATCCTCAATGACTTCAGAGGACTCAGAAACCACCTTTCCGTCCCTGGTCTCGATCATCTTGATAACAACGTTCTTCTTGCTCTGGGTGCTGGTGGTGCTGTAACCGCCGGAGCCGCTGCCGCCGCTGAAGCCCCCCATGCTGCTGCTGCCATATCCGCCGCTACTGCTGTATGCGCTGCCACCGCCGTATCCGCCGCTGCCGCCGTATCCGCCGCTGCCGTATCCGCTGGAGTAGTTGCTTGAGTAGCTGCTCTTCATGCTATCCGTGGGGAAACCGCCGTAGCTTGCTATTTAAAGAAGGGTGAAAGGAAAGAGTTACCTCCGATAGTGTGCAATCTGTTTCAACCATAGAAAGTATATCATTAATAGCCTCTGGGGATTTGAGCCTTGATGTCTTGTTTGTTTTTTCTGCTCCAGAAGTGACCGCATTTTAGAAAAGATAAGCATTTATACTCCTCCTTCCTTTGGGACAGGTTTCTTTGGGAGCAACTTTTCAATCATGAGGTAGCCATGCCCTTGAGCATTCACTGTTTTACCATCCTTTTCTAACTTAGACCACACGCTTTAAAATTAAAATCTTGCTTTTTGGAATAAGCAAAAAAAATTGCATATAAACTGAAACTGTCGAGGTAATAAATTGGCTTAAATCTAGACAGGACCAAGACATATAGGGATCAAGATCAAGATCAAGGCAGGCGAGACCAAGACCAATTTCAAGTACTACTATAAACTCTAGTCTATGACTGATGTAAATATAAAATGCAACCAGATGATCCACTCCACCCAACTCACTTTTGTTCAGTTTTGACCCCAAACAACTCAAACCAGCCTGATGCTTATTTATTAACAATGGAAAAAATCAAATGAGCAGCATACACAATTTGACTTCTATCACCCTCTGCGGGTTGTTAGAACAACACCAAGGGGCTTCTTATTCTCCGTCTATGCTTAAAACTGAACAGCAAATTAAGGAAACTTTCTTTTCCACTTGATTTAATATTAGAAGCACACAATGTGAAGGTGACGGAGATGACTTACTGCTCTGTTGGGAGATGTTGATCGCCTTGATGCCGGTTAACAGCCTGTCCTCCTCTCCCTCCAGCAGCTTCCTATATGTGGCGATCTCGATATCCAGAGCCAGCTTGACGTTCATTAGGTCCTGGTACTCTCTGATCTGGCGGGCCATGTCCTGTTTGGCTCTCTGCAGGGCGTCTTCAAGGTCCCTGATGCGACCTTTGGCGTCCTTAACTGCCATCTCACCACGCTCTTCAGCCTCGGCGATCTGGGCCTCCAGGTTGGCACGCTAGAGGAAGATATTTTAACAAAATAAGGCTCCGTGCACACTCCTGAATATTAAAACTCAAAAACAAAATAGATCTTTCAAAGTGATTGACAAACAAGTTACCTGTCCTTTGACGGCATCGATCTCTGATGTCAGTCTCTGGATCATACGGTTCAGGTCAGCGATCTCTGTTTTGGTACTCCTCAGGTCATCTCCGTATCTGCTGGCGGATGTCTGCATCTCATCATACTGGAAAAACGACAACATAGCACACATTAAAAACTGGAAATCCTGCTCATGGCAATATTGAATACTTTTTATTGGAACATGTATGTTTTTTCCTGGGATGTAAAATGTAAATGCCTTCCTTGAATTATTTTATAAATTTTACCAAGACAAATGGAAAGTAGGGTTGAAACATGCACCATGCACTTCTAAATGTAAGAAGGCAATGCATGGTTTAAGAAAGCTTTTAAAGCCTTGAAAGAACTTCTCCCTCACCTTGGTCTTGTACCACGTCTCTGCCTCAGCACGGCTGCGGTTGGCGATGTCCTCATACTGAGCCTTGACTTCAGCCACAATGGCGTCCATGTCCAGGCCACGGCTGTTGTCCATCTCCACGATGACTGAAGTGTCCTTGATCTGTCCCTGGAGCTCACGCAGTTCCTGAATAAATGTACGAAAACAGACAGAGAAGAAAATAAAGATTTGTACACCCCACCCAAACATCCAGTACTTTCAGGGATGGATCCAGTCAAGATTATAAACAGATGCAGAACAAACAACCACAAACATCGTAAGCATAATACGACTGAAGTGATAAATCATAAATAATGCTGATGGAAGTGGCAAGTGGTTTAAAGGGTGGCAGGAAGTAGGAAACGCCCAGTAAGGGGGGGTTTTGTGCCTCGTACCTCCTCGTAGATCGACCTGAGGAAGTTGATCTCATCTGTCAGGCTCTCCAGCCTGGCCTCCAGCTCGACCTTATTCATGTAGGCCTCATCGACATCCTGCAACCAATTACATTGTTTATCAGCACCAGACATTACAAAGAATAGATGTGCTGGAGGAATTTGCAGACATGCTTTTTAAATTAGTAGAGTAAACGATGACGCTGACCTTCTTGATGAGGACAAAGTCGTTCTCACACTCGGTGCGCTTGTTAATCTCATCTTCATACCTGAGAGGAAAAAAGAAGTATAACATTTATACAGAGTCTTAGCTGGTGCTTCTACTCAGTTTATATGCTGACTGAACACTAGGAGGTGCAAGTAGTCTATGCATAACTCATTTGTACTCCTTTGGGACATTTGCCTCACAAAGTGTGTGTTGACTCAGGGCCGAGTGAGACAGGTGTTACTGATATTTCTCCCTTGAGGCTTCTCCTGAACACAGCTGATGCGCTCCATTTGTGTGTGGACAAGCGACTAATATGTGCAGCACTTTTTCTACCTGTTTGTGTCAGAGACGTGTGCGTCACAGCATCAGCACATTCAGGCTTGTGCTCTCCTGGGTTAAGCTATAGGCTGCTGTGGTTTGCTTTGTTTGACCTCCAGTCACATGAAGTGAAATGGGTGTGCGGAACATGCTTCCTCGGTGTTGTAATTCTCAAGAGTTCTTATGACGCAAGACAATGGACAGATGTAGGGAGGAGTCCGCAAAACGATTAAGTCATTGAACTGGAAGTCTAGTCTCCTGATGGGAACTGTTTGACCTGATAGACAGTTAACGTTGCATCATTTTATGTATGTGTCTTGAAAATCATCCGATGTATCCTTCATGTAAAAGCTTATAGCTGCATAGAAGAGCTCATAGTAAGTACTACCCCACACTCACTTGTTCTTGAAGTCCTCCACCAGGCCCTGCATGTTGTGCAGGTCGGCCTCCAGCTTCATCTTATCATTTCCCAGGCTGTCCAGCTGTCTGCGCAGGTTGGTGATGTAGGCCTCGAACATGGCGTCAATGTTGGAGCGGGTGGTGGTCTGTCCCTGCAGCAGGTTCCACTTGGTCTCCAGCATTTTGTTCTGCTGCTCCAGGAAGCGGACCTGATGTGAGGGGAAAGACACAGAAAGTTTAGGTTATTTATTTGCCGGGTTTGAAAGCTACATGTCGAAAGAATCCGCGACTTACATGCTTGTGTGCAGTAAATATGGGAAGACGTTTTCCTGTTTTCCTGACAAATTAACTATCGTTACTCTGTTTAAACTGTGATGTAACTGCACTCTGCTCTGCCTCTTACGTAACAACATCCTAATAATCAATCACCGGGATCCAGTCTCCCCATGCCTCCTATATTCACAATCTCCAGTCTTTATTGTTCTTATCTATCTTTGGAGCTTTGTAAGCTGCTGCTGGCTGTGTTTCCAGACGTGCTTTTCCAAAGGAAGGCCTGACATACACGCATCCTGACAGGAGGTAGAGTGGGGGGGGGAGGTTTGGAAAAAGCCTGTGATGGAGGAATTACAGCTGGTTAACCCTTCTCCTGCATGTCTTCCTGTTTTTGTTCAGCTAGTTTCGCAGCCAAAAAAGACAAATACATAGAGACGGAAGGGGGTGAAGAGGAGGAGCTGCATCCCTAGGCAGATGCAGGTAAATATTTAACTGTGTTATAGGTGTGATGAGGGAGAAGAGTGTCGGTGAGAGTTGGAGAGGGGGCAAGTGAGGGTGATTAATTGGCTGAAGAGAGACGGTGGAAGGTGAAAAGGTTGGGGGAGTTTGCATATTTGTGAGCAGTGAAAGCGAGGCAGTGGACCTTGCTCCCTGGTGTGCTAAATGTGAGATCTAACCAACAATCTCTTACAGTATACTTTTAAACTGGACTCAATGCAGCAAATAAAGAGCCTTCACATGATCTGCCTCCAAAAGATAACACATGATAGTGTGGGAGTGGGTTTGTGTTGAAGCATGCAAACTGCACTTTATCTCCTTTTAATCGTAGCGCCAATAGGAGAGTCGCTGTGTTGACTGGAACCTGAAACCAACCGGCCTTTTTAAATATTAACCCACTGCTGAGGCCCCAGGCGACACATGCACTCTGAGTATTGCATAAAGGCTGGACTTAAAGGCTGTTTGGAATAACTTAAAAGTCAGTCCAGTCATACTTTCACTGCATACTCCTTTTAATATTTCACTTGTGAGCACAGTATTCTAATTAAGCCAACAAAAGCACTCAGTACTCTGTGTGTGTGTGTGTGTTTGGGGAGGGGTGGGGGCCACCAGGGCAGCAGAAAAAGGGCCACACCCCAACAAAGGGAGGGACCATTCCCAAGGTAACTGGTATCACAAGCCCAGAGCTCTGCCCTGCCACACCCATTGCTTTCTCTCTCTCTTTGTCTTTCGCTGTCACTCCTTTTTGCAAGTCTGTTTTTCATCACTATAAAAGGGCAGCCACTGCCAAAAAGATGGAGAGCCTTACCCCCGAGTTTGAGCCCTTTTTTTTCTGCCATGACCGCATTTGGGGGAGGTGGCGACAGCAACAGCAGCAGAGAGGGCAATAAATCAACTCTCTCCCCGCAGGATATGTGAGGATATCAGCAATACAAGACATGTGGCAAACATATGGAGCTCTTCATCAAATATTGCATAACAATGTCACAGCACTATGAGGGAATATTTAGCTTTCTACATCTACTTTGACTGAGCTTTCCACACACCTAGAGCAGTTTCTGAAGGGAACAGAAAGACCAATGCCTTGCTAACATAAAGTTTTGACACACACACACACACACACACACACACACACTTGTGTCGGCCCTCTATTTTGAGCTCTTACCTTGTCAATGAAGGAGGCAAAGCGGTTGTTGAGGGTCTTGATCTGCTCCTTCTCCTGGGTGCGGACCACCTGGATGTTGGGGTCAATCTCAAGGTTCAGGGGGGCCAGAAGGCTCTTGTTCACGGTCACAGCAGTGATGGGGGCCTGACCAGCCTGACCATAGCCCATACCACCAGCATTAAAGCCCATACCACCACCCATACCCATGCCTGCACTACTCATGCTTGAGCCGAGGCCATAGGAAGTGCTGCTGGAGATGAGACCACCACCTCCAAACCCTCTGTTTGTTCCTCCATAGCTACTCTTGACAGCGAAGCTCCTGCGGGAGTTGACACTGCTTGGTCCAGCATAGGAGCTGCTGCTGTAGTTTCTCTGCATTGGAACAGACTTTACACTGTAAGAGGAGCTGGTCCTATAACTTGACATTCTGAAATCTTGTTTTTTTTTCTTTTAGAGTCTGGGAAGGTCAGATGGAATGGCTCGGTTCGCTGGCAGGCAGGCAGGCAGGACAGCAGAGGGGAGAGACCAGAGTGGATAGAAAAGAGAAGAAGCTTCTTAGGAGTTTTAAAGCCTGTTGCTGTGGGAGGGGACTGTGCTGAGCCACCATTGGCTGCAAGTCTGAGTGAGAGAGAGGGAGGCAGGGCCGTAACTTTACACTTGTATGACACATTGTCCAGTCACTCAAAACCATTACCTGGCCTTCCTACAGGCCTCTGTGTGTTGTTAGAGAAAACCTGGACTGTTGGGGGTGATTACCGAGAGTTAAACATCTCTTTGTTTTAACCCCTGCTCTGTGTGTGAGTGTGTCATCAAGTAAAAAGTGTTCAAACCCAGCACAGCTGATTCAACATGCAGAATTTAGGCATAGTCAAATAAAACAAATAATTTATAACCTTCAGAAAAAGGGTGCCAAGGCTGCATTTTTTTGTTTCTTTAGTTTATTATTCAGTGGGAAGGTTATGTGTGTGTGTGTGTGTAAGGAGGGAGGCTGGGCTAAATATCTCTGGGAACATGCAACAATAAGAAAGGAATGTGGTATGTGATGCATTGGTGTTTAATTATAGTTAACTAATGTATTCCGATGCAACATGCATTCTCTTCGGTGTCCTTCAAATTTGCTTTACAAGGCATTTATGGCCTATTTGCACAGAAATATTAATACATTTTTAACATTGTAATTCAGTTCAATTCTTTCCATGCAGATTTATTTCTAAATCAAGACCATGATCGAACTCAGCACTAAAAGTTATTTCAAAATACTGAAATACACAGAAAGTCCCTTTAAAGCACATAACACACGTCTGCACAATATGTGAATCTACATTGTAAAATAAGTATAAAAAAATGCTTAATGATCCTCAAAGGTTTATATAGTATTTTACCTAGTGCGTAAGGTTGTGGATATGTTGATTTTCTGCCTTTTCTAAGTCTTGATGCTAAGCTAAGCTAACCCACTGCTTGCTGTTGCCTCAAAACTTAAAGGCTGTGACAATTTTAGCTTCTTCTGGACGTTTCTTTTAAGGTAACTTATCTATGTTGCCATGACAACATCTTTATATACCTGCTTGTAAAACTAACCACAATAGCTTGATCCCTCTACATAAGTTCATAAAAGACTCCTTAGATGTTGTTTTTATTCTTTATGGACTTTTTTTTTTTATCCCATCACACTTTAAATCAGATCCGTTCTAGACCCCTACCAGGTGATTATAAAATCAACACAGCCCTCCTTGACCTTTAGGCCGGGCTTAGGGTAAATTAAAATGGGGGGGCACAGATATTCTTCTCCAATCTCAAAGACGCACAAACTACAAGATAAGAAAATAATGGTGAATCACAGACTGCAGAATAACGTTCAGGTAATCAGGAGGAGCAGCGTAACCCCTGACCTGATCTACTGTGATCTTTTGTGAACTCAAGGAGAAACAGATGTTAGCCAAACAGAGACTGACCAGAACCTGTTGTAGGGATCTGAATGACAATCTGTTTGGGGAGACAGGGTTGTCACTGGTTGTAAGTAAAGGAGGTAAAGCTCAGGAGGTTTAGGACTTGATTGGTTAACCCCCTCCCATTAGCAGACATTCCGGACCAAACCTTGGTTCAGACCCTAAAGCCCAAACTTGATTTCTTCTCCCTATGTAAGGAGGGGCTTATCGTGTACTAAGCCCCATCATACAGATACTTGGTGATCCACAATAACCACATCATTGCATGTTGTAGTCAAGAAAGCAACATCTGAATTGGGGTCCAAGAGCAGCAACACTTCCATTCAAGGCTGTCTTTTTTGTTAACCTGCAAGTGTTCCTTCTCTTGTACCATGCCACGGTTAAGACAACCTGTTGGTATTGGCGGTCCCAGCTTGGTTAACCTTCAGCTGAAAGCCTGGATTATCTAGTTGACACAAAGCAGCATCTCACGCTTTAGGCTGTATTTTTTTTTTTCTTGACAAAACTATCACTGGACAGGGGCAGACAATTATTTTAGACCACACCCAGGTCCACCATCCTTCTTTCCTCAGGCAGAAGCTTCTGAGTCTACCAGTGCAGGTCAACCACTTTAAGACCACCCTTGTCCCCCTTGTAAATCAAAGGGAGCTAGACTGAGCAAAACCTCTGGAATGCAGCTTTTTATCATAGTTGGCTCTTTATCTACTGATGTGTTGCATAACAAGCAGTTTGCAATTTCTTATTTGGTGTCTTTCTGTTAAGGATTTCCTTCAGGATTTAATAAGTCTATCAAATTAACACTTAGCAAGAGTGTCCACAAAAAATGTCCAAACTTTCGACCAAATGCAAATTAGAAAAACTCCATTGTATAATAACAAATGCTTTATTTAGGTGTACCAGCATGTACCAACTAACTGTTTAAGTAATTTAAAGAAAATTGGGGGGCTTTTTTGTCTTTTATTAGATTGTCAATGCTATGGTGGTGGCATGTGGTGCATAAGCACTTTGAGCAGTCAGAAGACCTGAAAAGCGCTTTACAAGTACATTTATCATTTAGCATACCATCCCATCAGACAGTGAAAGTCTCCCACTGTCAGTTGTTAGTCTGAATAAGTAAGTCAGGAAGAATTTAAGGCTGACCTGTTGAGAAAATGTTTAGACAATTTCAGGAATGCATGAGTGAAAAAGGCTGAAGTTACATGGGAAAACTATTAATTCTCAACAACATACTGTACATATAGCTTAGGAAACTTCATAAACATACATAGAATTCTTTAAAACAAAGACAATACACCAAACATTGAACAAAACTGACCTTCAGTTGTCTGTGTAGCTTCTTAGTCATCCAGGTCATGGTTCCAATTCAAAGGCAACTGGATTTGGTTGAAGATTTTCAACCAAGTCCAGTTGCCTTTGGATCGAGCTTCGAATAGACCTCGGGTTATTTGAATATGTTGCAGAGCACTTGATTCTCTTTAAGCTTCTTCTATGTGTCTGCTTCTCTTTTTGCAAAAACTGAGCACGAGAAGACCATCCCCCTATTCAAGTTCAACAATCCTTTTGTGCCACAGACCTAGTGTGTCTAATATGGGTTATTTTCTGGTTCATAGAGGCCCCTTAGGGAGAGTTCAAGCCATGCAGAATCTTGATGAAAACAATCTGTATGTCTAACAGAACCATCCGTGCACGATTGCAAAAAAGAGTGTCACTTTTACCAATGCAGTTTGCTAGATGATGATATTTTGCAGCAGTTTTGGATGCTTTAGGGCTCAAAAATTCCTCGGCTGCTGCAGGCAACCTGTATGCAACCCCTTGTTTTATTCTCATTCTAACACACACCACATGTGCTGTTCTGTACACTCCTCTGCAAACCAGGTGAACTGCACTAACCAGCTGGCTTTCATTACTGTAAAACAGGAGGCACATTAGGTGAACGCCATAGAGCCTGAGGCATTCAAAAAACAAAGAACTTGAGTGTCAACGTTTATTTTTGTTCTACAAAACTATGTCTGTCTGTCTACATGCATTGTTATTTCCTACAAACACCTTTACATGATTCTGATTCCTGAGTGAACTATATGCTCTGTAAACATGAGTAAAACAACATTGTACCACCCTGATAACAGAGCTGATGACAGATATTTCCTGCATTTCCTCTAATTCAACTGTTTGTTTTTCACCATGCTGCTCAGTGAAACTTACAGGAACATGGTGGCTCAACCTTGAATAGTTTTTCCACCAATACCAGCCCTGCATTCCTCTCCTCCCATCCTCCAATTCCTTGCCACGATGAGTCATGAGTCTTGGCATCACCAATCCAAACCCCCTCCACCATACCCGCTCTCCTCCGTCTTCTTTAACCTCCTACTCTCCAGCCAATGGTCTCATAATCATCACAAAAATAAAATACGCTCCCATCTTCTTTTAGCCAAACTGTATGCCAGCTCAAGAGGAGGGCATTTTTAACTGCTGTGTGCAGAGTTGCAGAGCACCGAGGGACTGAGTCAAACATCCTGAAAAGGGAACATGTGGAAATACTGATGAGATTGTGAATCTGAATTTGAGTTTACCACACATGAACAATCTGGAATAAACAGTGCCAAAGGGAAATTCCTGCTTTGGTTTGTGAAATACATGTGACTGCAGTGAAATGGTGGTGATCATATATTATCACCAGGGTTTGGAATCATGTGGATGATGATTCAGACCAGCAGAAACGAGAACAGATCGCTCTCAGAGCTCTAAGAAGAAGATTTAATTTTAAGCAATTCAACCGTAATTTCTCCAAGAATTAAGAAACACGTTCATCTTTTCAGACATATGACTTTCATCAGTGTAATCGAGCTGGACGAGTCTGCTATCTGTTACCAAGTCCGCTAATAAGCCCCTGTGGTGGACTCACAGTTTGAACAGATTTTTAAATTAAACTTGAAATGATCTTGACTTACACTAAAGATAAAAGTAAAAATCGTTCACTATTTACTCCTTACTAAATGGTAAATGGACTTGAGCTTGTATAGCCTGTAGGACTGCAGGATACACCTACACATTTACGCACCGGTGGCAGTGGTTGCTATAGTGACCATCAGAAGTAACCAATCCATTCATACACATTCATTTGCAGCCGATGAAGCAGCATGGGGTTATGTGTCTTGCCCAAGGACACGTCGGACATGTGGCTGCAGGATCTCGGGATCGAACCCCTGACCATCTCGTTAAGAAATGAGCAACTCTACCAACTGAGCCACAGCCGCCCTGCTAGTCCTGTATGACTACAGTGTAGAAACATAGCGAAACACACTTCATGAGGCCATGTTGGTTGTTATTTGTCATGATGAGTATTTTTTAAGTTTCAGCAGTTTCATTGTTTGGATTTGATTTGAACTATTCAAACAATATCATGGTATCCTTTGCAGTGAACAGGGTCTTAAACCAACCATTGCTTCCAATTTGCTCCCATTTTAATACCTCTTTATTGGCTTTATAAGATGTGTTGGTACTCAAATTCCCCCGTTGTACCTTAGTTGTAATGCACCCCATCTGACAGGAAAAAATAATCTCTTTTCTGAACCCCATTTCTCTGTTCTTCTTATCCAGT